CAAGTAGAGGAAGCCTTGTTTGTTTTTGTTTTTTTTTTTAATAAAGAAATATGATTTTTTTGTTTTATTAAAGAGAGCACATTTGATTCCAACTTCTCACCAGGCATCCCTTTCTCTGCTCCAAGGAGCAAAGTAAAACCCAATTTCTTCCACCTTTCCAGAGACTTCCACTCTTCCCAGGAGCAAAAGGTCCCCAAAGCCCAATTAGTCCCAGTCTGGCTAGTACTTTGGAAGCAAGCAGTTTAACTCATTTGCCTCCATGCTGGCAGCAGCTCCCTTTAAGGGAGTATAAAGCCGGAGAAATGCCTGTCTCTGCTTGCTGAGAGTTACATCTACAAAATTCCCTCTGATCTTTAACTCAGGCCGGATTAGGGGTATACAGAAAGCACCCAAACCAAAAACACTGATGGAAGCCCAAAGTGAGCCCCAGTCCCCTTCTGAAAAACAATACTAACCCAACCTCCAGGCAACTGGCATGATCACCAGCACCCCAAGCTTCCCCTAGGTCTGAGCTGTCTTTCTCCATCACTCCAGGCACATATTGCTGTGGAAACAATGGCATGCCCTTCAGGTTGGACTCATTGGGTCCAGCATGGGGAACTCTGCCCCTGCAAGCCAACACTGAACAAAGTGGCTGGAAGCATCATCAATAAAATGGCAGCACATCTACACATTCTCCTCATTGATTTTCCTTTTCCAGCTGCTCAGGCTGCCTGGTCAGCCTAACCCTCCACCCTGCTCAGTAAACACTGGCCAAATGCAGAGAGAGACTCCCTTTCTTAGCTAATGGCCCCCACTCTTTTCATGAGGTCTGGCCCCTCTAGCCTCTCGTCAGCCACCTCTGCCTGATCTAGCTTCCAGCTACCTCAGACATCAGGGCCCTCCCTCTGCCTGGGGACTTCAGCCGGTTGTGGTGGGACAAAGCAACCCTAATACTAGAGAGTACTTGGTTCGTCTAGTAGCCTAGTAGCCCCCAAGTGCCCTCTCCTTTACACCTCACAATATTTTCCAGGGAATTAAATTCAGAGTCTGAGGAGCTACTGGGATCTTTCAGATGCTTTCGGTTCTAAAACAGAAACAAAGGAAGACGGAGGAGGCTGAGGGTCCAGTGTCTCCTCGCCTGACCTTTGTCTCTCATAGCCATAACTCACTCTCGATATGAACAATCAGAGGAAATACCTTAAAATAAATTCCATCCTCCTCGTATGGCCTGGAGTCCCATCGGCTAGCTTGCCCAGAACTGCTCCATGAGAACTGAAAACTGCAACCCGCTGGAAGAGCGCCTGCTCCAGAGAAGGGGAAGGAGAAGAAGGAGGAGGTGGGTGCGTGGGGGTGGGGGAGAAAGCTCTCGTTCTAAAGAGAATTTAGAAAACGTAATCACAGACGAAGCCTGCCTGGGTCTCCGCTCCAAATACCACAATAATGTGCAGTATTATGTGCTCACGTGGTCATACGTCAACTTAAACCTTTTATTTGAAATAGGGACTCTCTGAAGGAACCAGGTTTCCAAGGAGAACATTAAGATTTGGGGGAGGAAAAGTAGGGGATCTTGACCAGGGTCGGAGGGTCAGAGTTCTGCCTTACCCGCAGAACTATGAAGGGGGTACCCCACACAAAAGGGCTTATATCCACTTACATTTCTTTACACATACTCCAAACACAAGGGAACAGCAACTCTGTCTTCTTAGTGTCCACTTAACTTTCCCTGGCCTCTCTTCTACAGACAAATTGGATTCAGCATGCCCAACCAGTACCCCCTCAAGGCTTCTCTGACCCACAGACCAAGACATCAAAAGGCAAGAGCCAAGCCCAGCAATGACTGACTAGTCGGTGGGTCAGTCAACAGATTTCTTTATGGCATGCAATTGTATGGACTTTGCTAACACCCACGCCATACACCAGAACCACTGGAGAAACCAAAAAGGCCTATAATTACCTGACAAAATCTTAAAGTCTCTCCTCCAAGTCCAGTTGGTCTTGTTCAGTGGCAGCCCACTAGGAAAGCCATACTCCACTATAAAGTTGTGGGTGAAGAGTTTGCTAAATCTGGAGAGACCTAATGCCCTATCGAAACCCATACTTATGCATTTCCTCAGTGCATGGCTGAGTGATACATGAAATTATATGCTTCTAAAGATGAAAAAATGTAAGCGGAAATGATCTAATTGCCTCTGAAATAGGGGGAAGCTCTGACCTCCACTGGAGTCTCCGCTAACCTGCAAGACAGCCTGAGACCCTCCCTGCCCACTGTTCTGTCCACTCATCCCTAAGACAACTCCACAGCTACCAGCTGCAACTGAACTGAACCGGTTCTGTTTAGGAGAAGCTGGCTAACACAAATAAAATGTCCTCCCAGCCTCCACCCCTACTCTTGCCTTCTGTTTGGTGACTTTGCCCACACAGTTCTACCTTTTCACAGGCTGCTAAAAAAAAACTCCCTAGTCCTGTTTTCTGAATGCTGAGTGTTCTGAGCATGCCATTGTCTTATTCCTGGAGAGTTAGCCTTCAGCTGGCCCTAAGCATGAGGACTTACTTGTGGCAACTGCAGGAGACATTGTCTATGAGTGTCCCCATCTTCTCACTCAAGGAGGGACCAAAAGGAGTCTGTTGAGAATATAAGGCCCTAAGTCAAGAGACATTCTCATGAGGACTGGGAGTGTCCAAATCACACCCTTGGAAGTGAGTATTAGCCTAAGCTGGTGGCAGCACACCCCTGAGGTTCTGGCTATACTATAGCTGGAAGACTTCCATAGAAACATTTCTAGCCATAACCTGAGTCAGATGCTGGAAAGCCAGAATCCAAACCTGCCTGGCCCAGGTTGGAGAGATAAAGAACAGATCAAATGCTGCTTGTCATAATATATTCTGCATTTCAAGGACTCAATCCACTCATCTCTGTGTCTTCTGCCCCATGGAATACCCATTCCCCAGTGCCAGTCATTCACACTGAGCTTTTCAGATACCACAGAGAAGGACCTAGAAATATGACCCAGTTGCTGACAACACCCTCCCCTAAGTTTCTGCAGAAGCATTCAAAGATGAGAAAGGTCCCCTTTGAACTCTCTCAACAGTTTCAAGCAATAGGCCTCCTTCAGTGAGGCCTATTGGCATCTCAGTCCCATGCTGGAGCCTCCATGCCACTAGCATCCCCATTAATGCTCCAACTGCTGTTTAACAATTAACCTTAAGGATGGGTGTGGGTGATTTGGTGGGATGAGAAGAGAAAAGAATTCTGAATAAATCAAAAGAAATTTAACTTAGGGGAAAGAAAAAAACTCTCCCAAGGGTGAAGTTAGGCTGGGCAACCCCCACAGGCACCCACCAGCTGAGAATCTTCCTTCAGCACTCTGAATTCCACTTTCCTGAAGCAAAACTGGGGGGCAGGCATGTCACCAGACCCTTTCCACTCACACCACTCTGTCCAGGACTGAGAGAGAACCCATGCTGTGAGCCAGGCCACCAGAGCCGAACTGGGGGAAAGTTGGCTTGGGAGGGGCAGGTGACCAAGCGTACAGGCTATTAGTCAATATTTGCCAGGCTGTTGGCAGATTAGATATATCTGTACTCAAACACTGCAATCTGATTTCTCTATCAAAACTGTACTTAAATGATAAATCCTTATTTAACATGAGATATTTCCTGTGGGTACAACGGCAGTACAACAAACAGCTCTCTAGACACAAGTGGGTATGTATACCACGTTATACCCTGCAGCTTTCACTATCCACAATTGTTCTGTTACTTGCAGATATGCAAATCATGTACACACACTGAGTTGCAAATACCTAAAATGTTCCTTCTATACTTGATATAAACAGACACCCATAGCTGAGAAAGTAACTCCATTACTAGGACTGTTTACTTCCTATCAGATAAAAAATAATAGTATCCCAAACTGCATTCCAGCTTTAAAGCACCATTAAGTAACATGTTGGAATTAATTAACAATCTAATATATCTGTCTGGGGAGCAAATTTTAGAAAGATTTGGACCTAGGGAGCAGAACATAAAAATCTGAAAAGTTTGGCTTTTTTTTTTTTTTTAAAGAAGTAACCCTTGGGTTGGAGGTACCCTATAGGTCAATGGTAGAGTACTTGCCTAGTATGTGAAGAGGCCCTAGGTTCTATTCCCAGTACCAGAAGAAAAAAATTTAACCCCTGAAAGAGCAATGCAAACTCATTTGTTCATACTAAACTTCTGAAAAACAACAACAACAACAACAACAACAACAACAACAACAACAAACCATTCCAGCAGCCCCTCTCCCAAACAGGCCCATAATTTATGGGTCTTTTACAAGGTAATAAAGCACAGTAATTACCTCCCTGCATCCCAAAGTAAAAGAACAAATTAAGCCAGAACTTGAAAAGAATTTTAAAGAGTTTTTTCCCCCCTTGTTCCAAATAGAAAAAGAAAACATTCAAACACAGAAGATCTGAGCTTTTCCTGTGGGAAGTGCTGTGAATCTGCTCTGATAAAAGACTGGAGCAGACTCTGTCCAAGCAGGGCCTACACCCTGGGAGAACTGTAATCTCTCCTCCTGCCGAGGAGAGGCAGAAAGACCAAAGAAAATGCAGGTGGTGGAGACAAGTTTTCTCAACCCAGAGCTGGGACTGGCTGGCAATTTCAGAACTCACAGCTTCCAGCCTCCCCAGCCATAGCCCACATTGCAGCCGCCTTGCTTCCCTGGCTCCTGCTTGCTTCTGCTTTGCAGCTGGGGGTCTGTTTAGGGCTTGTAGGAAGACACAAACACAGCCCCTCTGGCTCTCCCTGCCTCGACTTTTGCTTCTGCACCCTCTACTACAAGCTTGAAGCCTGCTCTTTGTCTGCCTCATGCCCACATGGTCATCTGGGACCCCAGCTCCAAAGTCTGCCAAAGTTAAATATTGACCAGAACCTCTTTCAACCAGCTCTAGTTGCCAGGAGTGGGGGAGGTACACTTCTCCCTGCCTTCTGATGCAAAGTCCCAAGCCTGAGGAAGAGTTTGGTGCAACACTTACCTCCAAAGATGCTTAAATCTGAACCAGGAATGATCTCCAATTCCAGGTGCTCAGGGAATCCCTTTTTCCAGTGTCCAGGCACTCTGCAGACAAATAAACACCAGAGGGTGAATGGTGGCTGTGAAGGAAGGGAATGAAGACTGGAGTTAGAAATGTGTCCTGTATGGGCGCCAGGATGGCCCCAGGGTGACGCGGGCATGGAGTTGTCGCCAGGGCACTGGTCCATGAGAGATACTCATAGCTCGAAATATTCCAGTCTACAAATGATCTGAAGAAGGTGATTTATTTTTGTAAAACAAATACATACTCCATCTCTGCACCCACAATCTCCTTTTCCTTTTGTATAGTTTTTTGGGGGGGTTGAGAATGAATTAGAGGGAGGGAAAAATAAGATGGCTTTGCTGGTGATTCGGGATCTGCTGGCAGAGCTCCGCTTGTACCCCAAGTTGGGGAATGTGAACGCAAGCTTTATTTTCTTTTGCAAACAATGGGAAGCCTTGTCTGGAAGCATTCAATCACAGACTCTGCTGAAACCTCACTAATAGCGTTCATTTCTGTTGGCGGGAAATGGGACCCCTGCTCAGTCAGTCCACAGATCAGAGGCAGTCTTGAGAGGTTTTGTTTTCTGGTTCATTCAAGGACTGGGCAAGCTATTTCTTGGTCCTGGTGGTCTGGCAGGACTAAAGCAGTGCCCAGTCCCTAAGAAAAGACCAATTACTGCTGCTAGAAACCAAGCAAGACCAAAGTGCTGCACAATAAATACAAGTTCTACCTGTTCTCGCCTTCTTATACCCACCCCAACCCCCATGCCGGGACTCTACTGCAGCCTTATGCCTCCCTATTTCAGCACCCCCTTGCCTGCTAACCAGAAAATGGCCAAAGTGCCCCCAGATGGCTTTCTGGAGTCAGGAAAATGCAGAGAATGGTCCCAGCTTGTTGTTCTTCTTCTGGGACTGAACAGGATTTTTTGCTTTTCCAGCCCTGACCCTTACCCACTCACTATCCATCTGCCAGCCTGCTCCAAACCTGGGTAGGTCTGCCCTCCACATATGAAAGCCAGCAAAAGCCAGAAGAGATCTACCAAGTAGCTGGGGAATTGCCTGACTCCTGGCTGGGAAGCCTCCTAGAATACTAAGGGTTGGCAGCAAACTGGCAGCTGCCTTCTGCCACAAATCCACCCACAGCCTTTAACCTCCATAAGGCTGCTTAGGACCAGAATCCACTCTGGACCCCTTTGTCTTGTTCAAACTCTCACTCTGTGTCTTCAAGGGGAGAGGCCCTGGCCTTGGGACTCCTGATGTGATCTGAAGCAGGGTGGGGGCCTAAATGTTAAGTACTTTGCCTCTCTACTTCATCCCAGAGAGATCTGCTGTGCCCAATCCACCACCACCAAGCACAAGACTTAGGAGTATCCTAATTATTATGGTTATTATTGCTGTTGCTATCTCTTTATCCTTAAGTCTAATATTCATGGTTCCTGTTTCCCATAAATCCTTCAGACTAATGAGTCACGGAGAGCCGCTGTTTAGGTCTCTTGCTCTGCAATGGCTGCCACCGTTGTATCCTCTCCCGCGTTTTTGGCGTCTGTTTGCTCCCTCACTTGCCTAGCGCCGGTGATTTATGAACGCCAGGAAAAATTGAACAAAGCCGCATGCTCCTCGTGTGGTATCTCTGCAGCCTTCCCCAGCGTGAATCAGGGCATTACCAACTGTCCGCGCTTCTGCCCCTCTTCATCACGAAAACCAGATTGTGACCGCAAGAAAAAAAAAAAAGAAAGAAAGAAAGAAAGGAGGAAAGAAAGGAAGAAAAAAAAGCCTGAGTCCGAACTCACATTTCCCTGGACACAGAGCCTCCCCGGACTCACAGCAATCTTACAAGAAAGCCTTGGACCTGGTCATCGCCCAGCGGACGGCTCCGTTCTCCACACTGAAGGGCTCTTGTCTGTTTTCCTGAAGGAGTTAAGTGCCTTTGGAGATATATCTGAAGGTGTGTGTATTTAAAAATCAAATAGGAAGTTGGAGCCACACTACTGAGAGATTCATTCCTAGTGAGGCCCTGACGACTCAGATCTATTCCTGACGATCGCATTAATTATTTAATGAGTCACGTGACCACAAAGATCACAATTTCAATATTCCCTACTCTAACAGGCGTCACACCTTCATCAGTGGCAACCAAGGTTCATACCTGGCTTTTTTGTTCCCCAGGCTTCCAAAACACAACCATCCTTGTCCTGAAAGGGAATGTCATGGAAGTGCTAGGTTGACCTCTGCAGAATTAGTCCTTCTGGAGCTACCAGCACTATAAGCACCAGAAATCCCTCCCTTGAACACAGCTCTCATCCCACCTGTTTGAATGCCAAGAATGGGCAGTTTAGTTACACAATCTCCCAGAGCAGCTTTAATAATGCAACCATTCTTCCTCAAGGCTATACGCACACCCCTATAGCCCTACACATCAGCACAAGACTAGACACCCATTCCAGTCCTCTCTATTCGTGTTTCTCCCGCAGCAGAAAGACGCTTGTGCACATATACCCGTCTAAAGTGATGCCAAAGGTTCTCCCACCTACGTTCTCATTAGCGTAAGGAACTTGAAGAGAGTCATTCAACTGCCTCAGTTTCCTCTTCTGTACAACTGAACCCAAATGGCCCTCAGTTCTCTTTCATCTTGAACACTTGACATCTTCAGATTAGAAATGGAGACATCTAAATTCCAAGGCAGGCGGATCTCTGTGAGTTCGAGACCAGCCTGGTCTACAAGAGCTAGCTCCAGGACAGCCTCCAAAGCCACAGAGAAACCCTGTCTCAAAAACAAAAACAATAAATAAATTCCAAGGCAGAAGTTACAGATTCTTCCCTAGTGTAGCCCCATTTCTCCTCCTCTTCTGCTTTGGATACCATCCTTTTTTTTTCCTTTTATTTTTTCAAGACAGGGTTTCTCTGTGTAGCCCTGACTGTCCTAGAACTTGCTCTGTAGACCAGGCTGGCTTCAAACTCAGAAATCTCCCTGCCTCTGCTGCAAGTGCTGGGATTAAAGATGTGTAACGCCAATGCCAGGCAAACAGCATCCTCTTTGAGGTACAAAGCATTTTTTCCCTTGATGCAGTGTATAGTATAAGAAAGGGATGCCAGAAACAGCAGTTGGAAAGGTTATGCCTGAGTTCTTCCTTTCAGGTCTGTATCTACTGATGCAGACATCAAGGAAATGACAGTGAAGACCTCTTGCTTCAACAGAACCCAGTCACAGGGATGGGCAGCCCGAGGTTGTCATTTCCTGCACTTATTCTTTGGGGTGTCTCTCTTTCCACTATAAAGGGTTGCTGATCTGTTTCTATGTTGGAACTGCTGGAGAGAAAGCAGCAGGGGACAGTGGCACAGTTTGAGAGCTTAGGGGAACAGTGGTGTCCACGAGACATGCAGACATGCGGAGAAGGGAAAGAAGTAGAGGCACTGGGGCACTCTGGGGTTGCTGGTACAAAGAGACAGTGTGAGTGGGCCCACTTCATATATCTGGGTAATCTTCCCATGAGCTCTGTCCTGGGTATTAAGTACTCCACTACGCCTGTCACAGATGAGTTCCTGCTGTAATAAAACACCAGGTATATCGTAGATTTCAGCAAAACCAGCAAAGAAAGCCTGCAAACTGCCATTTTTCTTCAAGGGGGAGAGTGTTAAGTACTTAATTCAAACTGTGACCATTAAAGTGTCTCCTACCCGATTTAGGTTGATTTCAGATGTTGACAAAACTTTTCTCTCTAGAGTCATGCACAGCTTGGCTCTGTGACTAAAGCGAATGAGTGTGGATTGAAGGAAGAGAGGGGAGCATTGCAAGGGTTGTTTTGGTAAGAGAACTACAGAGCTTACACAAAATACTGTCTTTAAAGGTCAAGGGTTTCAAGGACTAGTAGGTTTGCTTAAACACACACACACACACACACACACACACACACACACACACACACACACACACACACACACAAAATATAAAATAGAAAATCTGTCCTCTCAGTGAACTCCTATGGTTGCCCTGACAAAGGGCAGACAATGAACGATTTTAGAGTGCACACTGAGATTTTCTAAGCTGTTATGGTGAGCTCCCTTAAAGGCTGGCTGAATTATAAATAGAACACCCACCATGAAAAAATGGCAGAATCATCTGCAGCATTTTCAATAGTTTTGGTTTTGCAAAAGCACCAATACCTTAATCATCAACACAAAAATGATATCTTATCCCAAAACAGCAGAAGAAAGATCTTGTCTCTCAGTTCCTTTCCTGAATGGACAAATCAAAGGCATCCCCTTTACCTGCCCACCAAGAGCTCCAGAATGAAGCCAGTGAAACTCCACATCCTCCCTTCCCCACTGAGGAGAAATATAAGAATTTACCTTAAGTGATGAAAGTCTGCCATCTGAGGTTTTGTGACTTAACATTCAATTTTCACTAAGAGCCTAGGCATGCATATATATATATATATATATATATATATATATATATATATATGTTAAGAATATATCTTTGCCTGAGAAAGCATTATTTGCAAGAGGATCCCTCTCTCCTCCAAAGACTTTTCCCAAAGAATACCTTTCAAATTGTTGTTGAATTACAAAGAAGTATTTATTGTATGAGGTGATTAATGATTCCTGGGGAAATTGCTATTTTCAGTGTGATTTCATTTTGCTTTACAACTGCATGCAGGGAGGAGGGTGTTAATAAGTTGTAGCAGTAGCTACATTGCCTCCAGAAATGCTTAGCGCCTGTTCACACCTTATAAAATGCATTTTCTGCCAGGTTCTTCCTAACTTGGAAAGGCAAGTGTATACTCCTTTCCCCAGGAATTTTCTTGGCCTCTCAGAGTAGTCTCTGCAGCATTTATTTCTAAAAGCTGGCTTCCCTATAAGTGGAGAACAGATCCCCCTGGCTTGTCCTCAGTGCAGCAAGGGTGGCTGAGATTATCCCGCTTATGGAAATGGCTTTAAATCTCCTCTGATATTACAGAAGTAGGTGAGCATCCCTTCCTTCTCATACATTCACTGAAGTGTTTCAAGGCCAGGTGGCAGTTCTAGCAGTACTCTGTGCAGTGTGTGTGTGTGTGTGTGTGTGTGTGTGTGTGTGTGTGTGTGTGTGTGTGTGTGTAATGCCTGAGTACCAAATTTCAACCAATGAACAAATATCAGGGATACAGAGATTGAGAGGTGAGTTTTCAATTTTTCCCCACCCTTTAGATCTAGCTCTCTGGGTATGCACAGAAACACCCCTAAAGCACTGAGGAAAGTGACCCTAATCAGAGTTTGGCTTTCTCCCAACAGTAAACTCTTCCAAAATGACCTTGCTCAGGGTGTATTTTGGGGTGTCATTATGTTTCTTATTCCCTCAGAGGATACTTTGGAGAGTGTGGTGGGAAAGTTCACTTTACTCTAAAAGCTCTTCCTAGAGAAGCAAACAAGAATTCCCAAACTGTGCTCAGCGAGAAGACTTTAAGATCAGCCAAAAACCAAACAGCAATCTCAACCCTTTGCATAAACTATTTTTTATCTCCAGGGAAACAGGCAGATTAAGTGTGAAGGTGCAACAAATGCCAAGGGGCTGCTCTTTCCAAGTGTGCCCAGAGTTCATCCCGTGGAACAGCTGCAGAAACTCCTGGGCCTCTGCTCAGCCCGGTTTCACCTTTCATTGCAGGGACAGACATGTTTCTATGCCTTACAGAGACTTGAAGCCTGAACGCCTGGCCAAGTTTGGAAAGAAGAGGAGCCCTCTCAGGACTCAAGAGCCTTCTGCTTTTTGGAACATTTCCACAGTGGGTCAAGCTTGACAAGAATTGAGATCAAGTTGAAGACACACACAGACACTAATTCTGAGAGTATTCAGAGTGTGACCCTGGCTCACACTGTCTACAAGGCTTCTGCACACAAGGTTAAATATCTCCACCAAGAGGAGTTGGTTTTTGTTTTGTTTTGTTTTTATGAAAAGCTTGGAATACACACAAATCTATCTCCTAGGTTCTTAATGTTTTTTTTAAATGTTTATTCTTAGCACATTCCTTTTTACACAGCCATATCACTTTGTACAGTTGCAAGTGGGTCTAAATGCATTTCCCTCTCCCCCAAGATTGTGCCCAAGAATAAGACAATCATATCTCTATAACAATATTTTAAATAAATGCAAGGAGAGGAAACTACATGCCACACCTACCATCGAGTTCTACACATTTTGAGAATTAAATAATCTGGTGAGGTCCACAATGTCTACTCAGTAAAGCTCATGTGAGCTGCCTTAATGTAGAAGAGGAAGGTACTGGAAGCTGGGAAAGGGCCTGCTTCTTCTGCTTGTCACAACGATACAAGTGCATGTCCCCAGTCAGCATGTGCTGTCCTGCTGACTCAAAGCCATTCCATGATAAGCGCTTCCTCACAGGTTTCCACCCCTGGCAAGGTTGTCCAGGTCAGCAGGTTGTTCCACTAGGCAGTGTCCAGGACATCTGTCCTCTTGGGGATTACACAGACACTTACCAGGGATAATATCTTCTTTTTGGTTATGGTTTCCACCAAGTTGAATTTTGTTTTGGTGTCTGTCATGGTTTTCTTGGGGAGGAGTGGATGAGGATAGGAGCAGGAGAGAAGGGCAGGTAAGTGACAGGAACTGATTTAGGTCCTCAGATGACTACATGGAGGAGGGAATGGGTGTGGAGGCGTCAGGGAGAGGGTGGGGATGGGGGTGGGGGCTGTGGGCTTGTGCTTTTCCAGGCGGGCCGGCAGGGGCCGATGCAGGGTTGGAAGATCGCATCTTGGTGTTGGGAAGTTTGTGATCTTTCTTCCACTTCATGCGCCGGTTCTGAAACCAGATCTTGACCTGGCGCTCAGACAAGCAGAGCGTGTGAGCGATCTCGATGCGGCGCCGCCGGGTCAGGTAGCGGTTAAAGTGGAATTCCTTCTCCAGCTCCAAGACCTGCTGCCGGGTATAGGCTGTTCGAGAGCGCTTGGGCTCGCCTCCGTTATAACTGGGGTTGACTGAACGCCAGAACCCCGGAAGGAGAAGGCCAAGGAGGAGGGAGTGGAAGAGAAGGAGAGAGGAGATAGGGTGGAGAAGAGCAATTGGACATCATCATTATATAATAACCTGACACCAAGTTCACGCAAGACACATAAAACGGCAAAGAAAATGTTTCACAGGCTATTGACAACGGGAAACACCCGAGAGCCATAAAGAATGGTGCTGGGCATTGGGGCTGAAGAAAAGCTTCAAAGACACATGGCCCGGAGCCTCTGCCAGGGCAATTAAATTTATGGGGGCTATAATTACTGCCCTAACAGTTTGGCGTCTCGTAAATCTTGAGATAAAGGGACCCTGGGTACAAAAGGGTTCT